GTGGGCCAGCAGGATCAGGGAAATCAACCATTGCCAAGAGTGTTGCAATGATTCTAGCAGAGGAAAAAGGCATTCTAGCAGCCTCTTTCTTCTTTTCCTGAGACTATGCTCAACGAAAGGAAATCACACATGTTGCCACCACATTGGCTTCTCACCTTGCCGATTATGATGCCACATTTCAGACCCATCTCTTCCAAGTCTTGCAGAATGACAACACTAGAATTCTTGATGCAGATCCACAGACACTCTTCAAAAAGCTGGTCATTGAAGTCCTGGAACAACTGCCACCAAGCTCAGATCCTTGGGTGATCTGTTTAGATGCTCTGGATGAATGTGGAACAGATCGTGGTCAGACCTTTGTGTCTTGGCTCTCAAAGAACATTGCTCAGATCCCGGGGCATGTCCGATTCTTTCTTACTGGGCGCCCTGATGTTCCTTTGTACCTCAAGCATAGCAATCTTATTTCTGTGATGTCCAGCGTCATCCTCAGTGAGATTGAGGTTGCAAGGGTCGATCATGATATTCGGTTGTATGTGGAAAAATCACTCACTAGTGCCAACTGGACTGCCAACTGGGGTATATGGCATAATTGGAAGATCCAAGCTCGTAATGCAGATGAGATGACACACCAGGCAAACAGACTTTTTGTGTTTGCAGCCACAGCTGTTCGGTACATCCTTGCTGGACTTCCACAGGTACCACCACAGAAGTCTATTGACCACCTGCTTAGAGGTGCACCTCTTACCAGTCTCCATAGCCTGTACCGCCAGATTGTAGATGAGGCCATCCCGTTGTCAAACCCTGGTGACCTTCGTGGGCAGGAGGCTTGTGGTCAAGCATTGAAAATAGTCCACACAATTCTACATCTACTTGAACCTCTGGATTGTTCCAGTCTGGCAGCATTGCTTGAGGTGGATATTCAGGAGCTTCAGGGCATACTGCAGCCCCTCAGTGCATTAATCCATGTTTCTGATCTACCTGGGGTTGGCCTACGGATCATACATCTCTCGTTTAGAGAATTCATGACTTCCCATGTAAGGTCCGAGCTGCATTGTGGCACAGATGAACAACATCAAGCTCTTGTCAGGGGACTGCTAAAAGTTATGCAGAATCAACTTACATTCAATATCTGTGAACTGCCCACATCATATGTCCGAAATGTGAACATGCCAAATTTCCAGAACAAACTTAACACATACATCCCAGACCATCTTCAATATGCATCCCAATTTTGGGTGGATCATCTGGCAGCCACATTGTATAACTCTGACATAGCAGCGCAAGTGGAGAAACTGATGTATGCAAAGTTCCTATACTGGCTGGAGGTCTTGAGCTTGGTGGGGAAAGTGGATTATGGACTGGCAGCACTTTCAAAATTGATCACATGGGCGAACAAGGTATGCATGTTTTAGCCTATCCTTTTTGAGCATGGACTGATAGTAATCAGAGTGATTCACTGGTTCAATTTGCAACTGATGCTAAGAGATTTGTTTCCTTCTTTCGGGATCCAATCATTGAAAGTGCTCCACACATTTACCTATCCGCATTGGCCTTTGCACCAACTGAGTCCAAAATCAGTCAAATATTTCGACCTCGGTTTCCTCAATTGCTCTCGATATCAATGGGACAGATGAAAAAGTGGCCAGCCACTATAGCAGTGCTGGACAGGCATACCGACAGTGTGACCTCTGTTGCATTTTCGCCTGATGGCAAGCACATTGTGTCTGGCTCTCATGACCAAACTGTGCGGCTTTGGGATGCAGCAAGTGGAGCTGCTGTTGGTGAGCCTTTCAAAGGCCATACCCACTATGTGACCTCTGTTGCATTTTCACCTGATGGTAAGCACATTGTGTCTGGCTCCCATGACCAAACTGTCCGGCTTTGGGATGCAGCAAGTGGAGCTGCTGTTGGTGAGCCTTTGGAAGGCCATTCCAGTAGGGTGACCTCTGTTGCATTTTCGCCTGATGGCAAGCACATTGTGTCTGGCTCTTCTGACAAAACTGTGCGACTTTGGGATGCAGCAAGTGGAGCTGCTGTTGGTGAGCCTTTGGAAGGCCATTCCAATCTGGTGAACTCTGTTGCATTTTCACCTGATGGCAAGCACATTGTGTCTGGCTCTTCTGACTGCACTGTGCAGCTTTGGGATATTGTCAGTCTTGTCAACCCACCAGCCCCTTTGCAAGGCACCAGAACTTCCAGTGGATCACATTTACTCAATGTAAGAATCTTTCCCATTTGCATTACTGAGGTTAGCTAATCCTATATAGTCTCTTCAACTCAGGCCCCCCAGTGCTCCAATACATTGGCAAATCCTCAATGGTTGGGCATCTTTCAGGCCATGTGAATGGCTCTTCTGGGTTCCACGCTCTCATCAGATTGGTTTGTGGTCACCACACAATACCCTCGTGATTAGCCAACGACAGACCCGCCTTTCTTATGAGAATATTGTCCATGGTACAGAGTGGGCAATGTGTTCCAATCCAGCAGGACCCACTTCATAACTTCTCATTTCTGTTTTACAGATCCCTCACTTTCAGCTTCCTTCATTGTTGGAGTAATGACAAACCCCGAGCCATCGCCGAGGCCATCAATCATCCCGACAATGATGCGCCGACGCGCCCGAACATTCCACTATGTTCTTTGTTTTCTTTCTTACTCATTCTCTCTACTTGAGGAGAATCTTCTAGATTACATTTTGAACAGTATATATACTCTGAGTTTTGTCGTAGACTACATTGAATTTAATCTTCGGAAATATCTGACTTCTATTAGGTTATGGGCCCCGCCCACCTGAACTGAATCACGATATCACTTTACCTGCCAACTCGCTCTCTCGCTCTTACTCTGCATACACACATCTAATCGCTATCACGATGTCGGACAGCAACTCTGCATACCACATCAAACAGCTTGAAGGTGCCCAGGGCTATTCAGCATGGTCCACCAAGATGATCAACATCCTGACCGACCAGGATATGGAAGACGGCTCGAAGACGATGGCACCAGTAGTCTTAGACAAGGCGAATGCGGCAGAGAATGCTGCATTGGCAGAGTGGAAGAAGAAGCAGCGGAAAGCACTTTCCGCCATTCGGCTTAGAGTACTGTACTATTTCATTCAATTCGTCGACGCTGTGACCTGTGACCCCAAAATGCGAACTTGTAGATTCGCATTTCGGCCTGCGGGACTGTGACCCAGGAAAAAATTCGCATATCCCGGAGGCGCGAGGGGTCTGAATGCCCTCCGAATCGCAGGCGAACTAGGTATGTTCAGCATTTGTCAAATTGATTCGAGCAGGAAATTTACCTTTTTTATCCTTCTGCAGCAATTTCGACTCCCAATTGCCCGGGTAAATGTGATTCAAGAGCATTCCCGCCAATTGAGACACTTGTGGACTCGAACACGCGTTTTACGCATTTTTCTTTCGCCGAAACGCTGTGATGCGGACTGCGGTTCTGTGAACTGCCTGACCCGGGGTGGGTATAGTCAAGTAGTGTTTTACAGAATTTAATTCGTCCTCTAGGGGGAAATTGCTCTTTCGCGGAGCTGCGTAGTTTTAAGGTACGCTAATGCGCGATATATAATTTGTGGTGCGTGTGTGTGTACAGTTCTCTCCGTTTGGATTGAACGCTTTGCCAGGTTCCTCGAAGATTTAGTTCTTCGTTGGGGGCTGGCCTTCCGAAGGTACCGCGGATGGATAGTTTTCTACACTTGCTCGAAGGGTACGCTCCGCAATGCGAATGCTGTTCCGTTCCGGAGTACTCGGGTTATCTGTTATGCTTTATCCACCCGTCTCGAACGTATCGGACGGCAGGTCTCTTCAGTACGGTGCAACACTATACGGATGGCTATAGCGATTCCCTTCGTCGCCTAGTTTCTCCGTTGGTGAACGCCTTGAAACGGAATCACTTCCGTTTCGAAGACTCGGGGGTGAAGTGTGCGAATTGAATGGGGGAAATGGTATGATCGCGTAGGATAGGCCTTCCGTGTACGATGGGGTGGGTTCCTCGCAAGGATATGCGCTCGAACTCCGAAAAGGAACGGTTGCACGAAGCCAAGTTAGGCGACTGGCCGTTTGGTGGTGTGCCGTGTTAATCTACTTCCGCGCGCTTTCAACTCCGGATTGACTATATTTCCCCCGTATCGATTTATCGAAACGGAGGTGAGACGGACGGGGTTTCTTGACAAGCCCTGGCCTTCTAGGTGACCTTGGTTTGTCCTACTATTGGGCGGCACGACCCGTAGCGGAGTGTATTTTAATTTAGTTCCCCACCCTGGTGTACTTCAGGGGGAGTAGCTTTAGGTAAATGCAGTGGGAGGTAATAAGATATCCATTCCGTATCTTACAGCTGGCTTTTATACTGTACTCTGTCCGATACTCGCGCGCGTATTTAACCCTTTAATTAGAAACGGATGTTCCACCTTTTCAGTTCTGACTCGCCTCTGTGATCGCCCACGCGTTCCCGATTCCGAAGGGGTTAGAAATTGACTCGGAGCAGCCTCGTGTCGCATCCGTTTCCCGTTTCAGCCACCCCGATTCCCAAGAACCACCTCAGTTCTCCGTTTAGTCGCCCCGTTTCCCATAGCGCAACCACTTCGTCTCCGTTTGCCCCCCCATTTCCTTCCCTAGTACCGGCCAGGTGGCGGAACGGCAACGCATGCGAGACAAATAAGAGAGCCTGTAACGTTTCCTCGCAAGGTCTCCGTTCGATTCGGGGTCTGGCCTTGATAAACCATCAAGAAACTTTTGCCTCCGTTTCGTTTTTGAGTGAATGCGCGTCGAGTTTTAGAGTGAACGCATTGAACGGAGAGACAGCTCTATCAATATTTTCCTGCTTGCTTGTGGGTTTCCTATTGATTCGGAGTCTGATGTTCGGCCAGGTGGCGGAATGGTAACGTGCGCGAGACGAATACACAGACTCCCATAACGTTTCGGGATTCGGGGTCTGGCCTTGCTTGACGCAGAGGATCCCTTTTGCTTGTGGTCTCGGTGAGTACTCGCGGTCAGATAGTGTAACGGTAACACGCTTGGACTCGATACATTGGGATGGAGCGATTCTTCCAAGAGAACCTCTGTTCGATTCGAGGTCTGGCCCTGGTGGTGGTGTATCCGATGCTTTTTATTGATACGGTGAAACGGGCAAGATGCGCTGACAGTGAATTGGGGCTAGCTAAGCTAAAGATGCGGGCTAGCTGGAACACTAACACACCACACCTAAAACCTAACACAACACACCAATCCCCTTATGATTATAACACTAAGACTAGCGCGTCTTCCTAGTGAGTTCGGGTTCCGAGCCGTAGTATGCGACTGCTGGCTTGATTCCCGAGCGCACGAGCAATGATTTATGGTCTCAACTATCCCAACAAACAACTCCAATCTCTGAGCTAGCTCAACCACTTGACCGAAACAAGTCTTCCCAAGGGATGGGATGAACGGGTTGGGGTAAAAAGGGTTTTAACTAGGCGGACGTGGTTTAATACGTCGTCCTAGGCGAGGTGATAAAGCGTCTTCTGAAAACTTCCGGTTACGGACTATGCTGCGCCAGCTATTCTCTTCTCTATGACGATCCCAGATCAACAGATATTTGGGTGCCGACTTAGAACCTTGAATCTAAGTTCTTTTCCTTAACACTTGGGCTTATAATGGACCTAGAGGGTTCACTCAAGCTCCGTTAATCGGCCAATGAATCGACCAAGGAGTTCTACCAAAGTGCTGTGCTGGTCGTGGTCCGTTTTACGGGAGGCGTTTCCTAGTCACCCAATGCGTAGCCCTTGCGAAGTCCACCACGAAGTCAACGGCAACTCTCAAACGTTCTCTTTGTGCGCTCGGTCCTGGTTTATACGTGGAGGTCGTCGCCGCTCACAAGCTCCCAACGCGAGCCCTTGCTTATCGGTTCACACAGTTACTTGTGGATCCAACAACACTGATTCGATTTCTATAGACTTTACAAACGAAGAAGATACTTTATCTCCGCTAGCTAGGCCTGAGCACACCCTTATCGTCGTAACGATGAGCGGGGCATGAACTGGTCTTCAGCGGTATTTACATGTCCTTTTTATACTAGTTGAGAGAAAGAGATGAGGTAAAGTTAAATGAGTAAAAACTGGTCCGTGCAGCTCCGCTACGGCGAGCTAGCCGGTGCTATCGTGCGCTAGGCTTGCCAGACAGTCAGCTAGCTGACCATCTTGGGGGCCTAGGCTGGGTATATTGCCAATTCCGTACAGCTTTTACAGCTCCCGGAACCTCTGTATTTGCAAAACGACTCGGAAAAACCATTCCCGCCATCGTCTGCTCACCAATCCTCTCTCAATCTCCGTCTCTGCACGGACTGAACATCTAGTCGTTCAGTCATGGTGCCATCTTATCTGAAATACATCTCTTGGGTTTGTTTGTTGCAGCTAGCTGCCTTCAAACGCGTCGCGTCGATCACCTGATCTATCACTCGGCATATTCTCATGCCGACAGTTTCTCCTAGCTGTCGCTATCGCCAGCTAGCCCGATAAACCCGAAGCTAGCGCCAAGTTATTTATGGAACATGGCCCCTAGCTCAGTGCTATCCTGCTAGCAGCGCACTAGCTATTCATACGTCTCTCCTCTTTATGCTAGCTGGTAACTCTCGTTATCCTGTGCTCTCTGGAAGTCGTCTATTGGCCTGCTAGCCCACACTATGAGGTACTAGACCATAGTAATCCCCCTTAATGCGTATACTCCCCTAGTGTAACACTTGTTCACGCGCCTAGCACTAAGTTTGTACTACGGTCAGCAGCCGGAGCTCACTCTGACCCTCCTTTATATCACCGAACAGAGTCCCAATAGGAATATTGCACCTATTAGAAAGCTAGCTTGTTACAACTCGAAGCCTAGTATGCCTTGCATTTAACTAGCGCTAAAAATCGCAAAATGCAGCTAGATGTCGGTGCATTGATGTTGCGCCGTTTCAACGGAGTCGCTGTCGTGAGTATGATTTTCCTCCCGATTTGGCCGCGTTCAGAGCGCATCACAAAGTGACAGCTCACAACGCGTTGCACGCGCCAAAAATCGAATTTTCTGGGATTTCCGGGGATTTTCGTGACTTGTTTAGCATATTCGCAGATGGCCTCGGTGACCTGTGACCAGTGCGAGAAAGTTCGCATATTTCGGGGCCTGTGACCCGTGACATGCGAATTGAATGAAATAGTACAGTAGCCGAGGGACCTATGGCGTACATCCAAAACGCCACCACCGCGGTCGACGCTTGGAAGAAGCTCGAGCGCATGTACCAGCCCAAAGGGGCTATCTCTATCATCCGACTCCGCCGACAACTATTCCGCGCCACTTGCGAAGAAGGAGAGGATATTGAGGAGCACATACGGAAACTCACCCAGGTTCGGAGCACGCTAGAGGGATATGGCAGTGCCATCGAGGAATCAGAGTTCGCTATAACCATCCTCACCTCGCTTCCAGAGTCTTGGGACACTTGGGTTGGCGGTATCGATGTCACCACCGCCACCGAGTCCGAGGACATCATCGCCCGCATCTTACAGTAAGCCGGTCGCCCCCACGCCAAGCCTGACGCTGACGATACGGCACTACCAGCCTTCGGCAGCAAAGGCAGGGGCGGCAAATCTTCACAGTCACCTCGGAACGACGGCTGTTTCCATTGCGGCCGCCCCGGTCACCACTCGCACGAGTGCCGTGACAAACAGAGTGGCAAGACATACTCCGATGAGGAAAAACATCAAAACTATGCACGCACCTCGCGGAACAAGAAACGCAGCGGCGGTGAATCATCGAAAGCGCATGTAGCCGAGGAGAAGGCGGAGGACATCGTCTTCACGGCCACTGAAAAACCTCGCACCCTTACGAAGGACTCCTGGCTTTAAGTTTTAGATAGCGCAGCGAGTGTCCACATTACCAACAATAAATCCATTTTCCACACTTATACTCCGCTGCAAAATCACAGCATCGTCGGCATTGGATCCAAACCAGCAGAGGGGGAGGGCATGGTAAAGCTCCAGTTTAAATTAGATTCACGGCTTACTACAGTGACGCTACGACGCGTACTTTATCTGCCTTCATCGCCCCACAACCTCATCTCGCTCGGCAAATTCCATCGCGCCGGACACAAACTTGTTTTCCCGCTCAACTCCCTTGATGTCGAGATTGTCTCCAAAGGGGGAGTGAGGCTGGCACACTGCACGAATATTGGTGACGTTTACGCGATCGGGAATGTTAAACCTATTGCACCTGGACAGTCCATGGCATCCAGAACATCACTTGCCTTTGCCGCGACACCGGAATGTACACTCGATGCATGGCATCGAATTTTCGGACACCTTAGCCCGCCTGCCGTGAAACAATTGGTCGATAAGCACATAGTTACAGGGATGAAAATCTCACCAGGCTCACACGATGTCGAGCAGTGCACTATTTGTACCCAGGCCAAGCAGCACGTCGAACCATTTCCTAAAGAGGCTCAGCGAGAATTTACGGAAATTGGGGAAATGACCTTCTCGGACGTATGGGGACCAGCGCGCACGCGTGGGATACGTGGCGAGCGCTACTTCATATCGTTCACGGACGGTGCGAAGCGGCACCGTAGAGTTGCCATGATAAAGAAGAAATCAGAAGCCGAGAGGGAAATTATGAACTACACAGAGTTTGTACTCACGCAATTCGGCAAATGTTGCAAAGCCTTCAGATTTGACAACGGAGGCGAATACATCTCGAAGGATCTACGCGCGAAATTAGAGGCGAAAGGAATTAAAGTCGAAATGACGGCACCATACTCACCTCAGTAAAAGGGGGAGGCCGAACCCACACCGGAAATTCTGTCACGTCACAGTCACACCATTTTTGGTGTGATTTTTTTTTCGTTGTTTCCTGTTGTTCCTTGTCTCTGGAGGCGCTCATACCGTGCTCATTGGTGTAATGTGTAGTGTAATGTAATCTAATTTTTTTTACCCCATGCGTTGAACTGAAGAATAAAAAATTGGCGTTACGGGCGCCGGCCCGGACGGCTGGGATTTTCCACCCCAGACCCCGACCGCTGCGCGGGGCTACCGCTCGCCGCGGAAGCCCACTGCGTGGTGCCAGCGCTCGCCGCTGAGGCCCACTGCGTGGGGCTGGCGCTCGCCGCTTAGGCGCAGATGTTTAAAAAAACGCGCACAGTGGGAATCGAACGCGTGGCCTCGGCAAAACAAATAATCGAGAGATATTGTGGTTTTAACCACTCACACAACGGAGTATGATAATTGTTGCAATTATGAATATATGGCGTTAGGGGGTGTCACCTATCACAGTGTGACACAATTTCCGGTGTGAGTCCAAATTCCGTAAAAGGGTGTATCGGAACGCCTCAATCGCACTATCCTTGAACGCGCACGCGCTATGCTCATCGCACACAGCCTCCCTCATTCTTTAGCAGTCAGTTACGCGGTCTATATCATTAGCATGGGAAATTTACAATTGTACGTATACAATGCTAGAAATACATAAATAGTAAAAGGGCATATTCAAGGGATGAATAATAGAAGTCAGATATTTCCGAAGATTAAATTCAATGTAGTCTACGACAAAACTCAGAGTATATATACTGTTCAAAATGTAATCTAGAAGATTCTCCTCAAGTAGAGAGAATGAGTAAGAGAGAAAACAAAGAACATAGTGGAATGTTCGGGCGCGTCGGCGCATCATTGTCGGGATGATTGATGGCCTCGGCGATGGCTCGGGGTTTGTCATTACTCCAATACTCCCCCTCAAACTCGAGTCATGCCGAGTTTGCGAACTTGCTCCTCGTGCTGGGCGCGTGGGAGCGGCTTCGTGAAAATATCCGCCAAATTTTCGCCAGATGCGCAGTGGTGAACTGATACCTTGTTAGAGGCAACGGTATCACGAATAAAGTGGTGGCGCATGTCGATATGCTTGGAACGGGCATGATATCCAGCATTGAACGTGAAATCGATGGCGCCATGGTTGTCGACAAAGATGGGTGTCGGTTGTGTGGGAGGAAGATCAATCTCCGTGAAGAGGGAACGTAACCAAAGATTCTCGCGTGCTGCATGCGAGAGTGAAATATATTCGGCTTCCATTGTAGAAAGCGCGACAGTGGCT